TTCAGGGAGTTTTCAGTGGGTTCTTTTGCTTTTTACTTTACTGTCCCATATTCGACCCCTATATTTACCCCGTTTCTGCCACTGCGGAATAAGGACTAATCCATGCTGGTTTCCTAGTCCTCTGTCACTAACATTCTAAATGGTGCTAAGCCCTCGTCGCGTCATAGATTCCATTAATCGGAGACCTTTCCTGTGGCATTTGTCTCACTGATGGGCCAGGCCATCCGATCATGCTCCACTCTAGCCGGTCGGCATTCAATCAGTTGCATTGTTTATGGATTGTCTCTTAGTTTTTGTTTTTGTTTGTATTTGTATTCCATCGTAAAAATACCTTATCAGCCCCATGATGTTCCCCTCCATTTTCTTTAGAGGGACTCTTCTAAGGGAATTGTTCCAGTGCAAGATTAGATTGTGCATACGTCCTTATCAACACTATCGTCTGACCTGTGGACCTCCCATAGAACGAAGTCTGCTGTTCACATGATCTTTTACGACCGTCATACTGACGACGCCAGAATCGCTATCCAGCTATTGTTGAAAATGTTCCTACCATTATTTGCTAATTGATGACAAGCTCACCAGACTAGCCTTAGCAGCATTGTTCTTCCACATACGTGATTTCTCTTATCACCTTTTGTTTGTGTCGTTTAGATGCAAATAAATCACTCGCTCATGTCAAAACTGATTTGTTGAATCCGTGGCTTAGTCGCTTATCACCTGAACTAACTAGTCTAATTAATTAGACCATTACCCTATAAAGAATAGCCTAATTTATAAGGGAAAACACTATGAAAAAAGCAGCTGACTATCTTGCAACAAATATTTGTAAATAAGCATTGCTGGCACCCAAAATATTTTCAGTGGCTCGGTTCTTTTTTTTCCAAAAGCTGCACCCTGAATTTGGTTGGTTTTCATTTTCAGATAGTGGGAACATTATGGGCAAAGAAAATGCGAGTTTCTCGCTCTCTCTTGGTGTTTCAGGGGAGACGTGCGTTTCTCCTCCTGGGGTCAGGTCACCACAGTTGCGCGATCATTGAAGCTTAAGGTTAAGTTTGGGTTTAGACTTAGGTTAAGGCTTATGCTTACACATTGGCTTATGCCTAAGCCTATGATTGGGCCTAGGCTTAGTCCTAAGCTTGCTCCGAGCGAATGAACGGCGTCTCAATTTTAGGTGACCTGACCCCAGGAGGAGAAACAGTACTGATGTCGTATTCTCTTCAACAGAAGTAAAACTGATAGAAAAAAGCCATTCACATGAAGATCTTCGAGAAAAAGTCCCCATTTTATTGATTCAGAGGCGATGGCGTTAGAAATGTTGTCAATATTTACTGATAGCGTCAATCACAATGCCTTGCTTGGTTCGTCAAGAATTATACAATTAGACAGTAAAGGTGAAATTAATAACTAACTAATCCGTCTCACTTCCATTTACATCATAAATAATCAAGAGTAATGTTGGAAATTGGAGACATTGAAAAGTTCTTGTCGCTTACCTCAACAAATAAGCCTCCCTTGAAAGAATTTCCTATTTTTATTCCAAATTTTATGACTGGTATGATAGCAGTGTTCAATTATCAGTTGCTTGGACTGAGGTGGCGTAGTGGAAAGTAGCACCACTTCCCAAGCAAATTGCGAGAACTGGATCTCCTTCCCGCCCTACTGGATCCTTTGACTTCAGGAGTCCGCGTCAAATTGGTCCAGACATGCTCTAAAGAGTATCAAAAGTTAGCAGGATTGTACATCGATTGGCCGGCGCCAATTTTACGACATAGACCAAGCTACATTCAGGATGCCTCTGCGATTCTTAATGGAAGTAGAACGCGTAGCGCATCCCGGGAAGTGGTTGATAAGAAATGCTATAGCGGAAATTCCGTCCTTTACTTGTATCTGATTTTCCATACTGAATGTTCGTATATTCTTTGTAATTTTCGCGCAGTTCAATCTGTTTGTAAATAGTTAACAGCTGCAAAATTTGCCATAAATTCTTACTCATTGAACAACTCATTTATAATCTTACCTTTGTTTGAGGAACATCATTTTTGACCTCTTAGCACATTCGACATCTTAAATTAATAAATTTCGATGGGTTTGTTCGGCAAAATTGTGTTACATACTTTACAGGATGCATTTATACATTACATACGTTATTATGCTTTATACACTAGAGTAAATAATAGTTGTAAAGTATTTATTGTTGGTCTCATTGAGCCTTAAAAGTGGAGTGATCCTTATTTGCGACTTCCATTTACGATTTCTTTCCGCTTCATCACCCAATCACTAATGCCGGGGCGACGATAGAGCGACCTTTCGAATTCACTAAGCCGATGGTTTCCTTATCACCGCTGCGCACTCAAACGTCGCCATGCCGCTTTCTTCTCATGAACTCTCAAATTCCCATAAAAGCTTTCTTTTTGTTCACGTTTACATATAGGCTGAAATGAAGACTCGGCGAAGAAAAGACGAGGAACGTGAGCTTGATTAGAAGATAGGTTTTAAGAAATCTGCACAATTTTGGCTCACACTTTGAGGCCGGATCTGATGGCACATTTATGTAGCCGTTGTCCCATTTGTGAGTAAGATCCACAACGCAGAGCTTAGGTTGATCTCAGGGCTAGAACACGTGTGTCAAGAGTGCATGGGCTTGAGACATAGACCGTGGCACGCTCATTGGGCCAAATCCGCCTTTTGTCGTCACCCCTACCTCACTGAGGAGCCTCTAGTATGTAAGACCCTCTAGCCTCTATGCACTGGTGTCTGCTTTTCGCTAGTCTCACCGATTTGTATAGCTCTCTCGTCTTTTCGATAGCAGCTCCCTCGTCCTAGCGCTCACTGTTTCTTCACAGACAGCTCACGCAATGTTCAAAATCACTGCTGGAGGAGAGGTATTATAAGAAGTTCTGAGCGAATGCTCCTGATTTTCAACTCCAATGGAACCCTCAATACCTACCGTTTCACAGTTGGATCCCTCTGCACACTCTTTGCTATTGCCAAATTTTGTTTGAATCAGGGAAATGGGTGAGGAAAGGTGAAACAAATCTCTATCGCTAGATACGAGGCATTGGGTGGCAAGGCAATGGATCCGCGTAAAAAATCAATTTTTTTCTGAAATTGGTACTAAGCCTTGTGAGGCCCCCCAATGGCGCGCAAACATTTCCATTCCGCCCCCCAGAGTTGTACCCCGCCTCCTATGTATCTCTTAGAAATGCCCGGTATCTTGCGATCTGGCGCCCAGAATATGTAAAGACTTTTCATTCATTTCAGAAATGTCATGTATTCTGATAACTAGGTGCATTATACATCATATTTCGTAGCTGTTAAAGGGTAGAACTAGCACCAAGATAAGGCTGGAGGGCACGAAGATCCGCTGCTAATCATAATACCGCCCCACGCCATGCCGCTACAAAACTGCATGTCATTCTTCTCAGTCTTCCTTTACCGGGATATATAAGCCTTGCAATATGAGCGCATCGCATTATTTTAATTCAACTTTAAACCTAAATTGGAGTCCAAGGGCAAAAAGCAAGACTTCGGGAGAAGAATAGGATGAGAAGAATTCTAATTTCTGCCTTCGATTCGAAGTGAATATGAACCTCAACATGAGGGAGTAATAACACTTTTGCAGGTAATCATGAGGGATAAGGGGATCTTCATAGTCTTCGAACTCGAGGAAACGGTCAGAAACCCCATCATTATCACCCTATTTTACACGAATCTGTCAGAAATGGCTGCCGAAATCTCAAGTGTACTTTCAGTGAAGTGATTAACAGTCATATCAGATTCCTGTCGTTTTCAAGGTATCACCTGATGAAACATGACATACCACCCAATCGTCTAATCAGATGTGTAGATGTGGTGTTTCGGGCAACCGTCATATCCCTGGCACATCCTAAAATACGCCAAGACCCAACACTTCTTCCTTTTATTTCCTTTTCTTTGGCCTTTTTTGTGATAGGGGTCTTCTTCAGCTGGCCTCTCAAGTTGAGCCTGTCTCTGGTACTAAACCATTCTTTCAAACTTTGGCTGAGATCGAACTCGCAGTCCAGAGGTGCTCTAGAGGTGCTCCATGAGTATAGTCACCACTCGGCTATCCCTCCTTTTTTGTCCGAGCAGTAGGAGCAGTGTATTATTCCTTTTCAAATCATCGATTTCACTGCACATGGTGAATAACAATCGAAATATGGATCTAGAAAATGTCATATTTCACCTTTATCTATAAGGTCCACTTTAAAGGGATTCAAAACGCAGGCTAAAATTTAATCAAGGAGAAGTTTCATATCTTTCGAATCCTTGTAGAAGGGTGAAAAATGCAGCAATATGTCTGCTCAGACGGTTTTAGCTGTTAACTGGTCTCAACTACATGTCCAATACGGTTTTATTCTTTAGACCATTGCTTCCTTCCAGTCAAAGACGAAAGCACGGCACAATCTCCCCGTCATTTAACACATTGCGTATGACGCGCGATTTTGCACAAAAGAGCTTGTTCTTATCTGATTTATTTTACATTTTCAATAATTCTGAACTGTTTGTACTCCTTTCCAAACCGGAAAACAATACCTGTCATCACTGACAAAAATTGATAGATTAATGACCATTTATTTTTGAATATAAAGAAAGATACTGAGATATTTGTGCCATGGGCGGTCCGCAATATGGTAAATAATCCTACTTTTCAAGCCTTTTATTCCAGTGGTATTGCCGTATCCTGAGCCAGGTTTACCTGGCAAAAGTAGGGAAACACTCAAAGCTAATTCTCTAGAGGTAAAGCCCAAACTGGAGTGAGCTTTACGCTCATAACACTGCTGTGATGATGCCTAAAGCATTTGTTTCTGTAACGTTTTTAACCCTGTCCGTCCAATATTGCCATGCTTTTCCCGGTCGTTCAGTACCATTCCTATCATATTTCAGAAAATGATCGAGTCCGACTACGCTCCTCCTATTGCCCTGGCCTGCGGAACCTCTATCGAACCAAACGTCTACTGAAATCGATCACGACAATCACAATGATCATGGCAAGTTATACGATCGCTTTCGTGAGTGTTCCGAGCCATCCAGAAATTTATTTGTAATAAGTCATTAGAAGATTGTCAAATCTAATCTTTAAATTTGCAGGTTAATGGTGAAAGGCCTAACGAGACAATAACATTCAAGCAGGTGTACGACAGTGCGTATTCGATCGCCGCTTTTCTCTACTCAAAAGGATTCGAGGTGAGCTGAGCTGCTTTTTAAATGTGATAACGCTATCGCATTTTATGATATCTATGTGCCTTTACATGAGCTTGCGCATCCTACTAGATTGTCGCGGAATTGTCCTTCTAAAACACCTAAAACTATCCGCCATTGTGACTGGTAGAGGTTTTCACTATGGCATTCCAGTGGGCGACGCAATATCGAAACTCAGAAAGGGCGTTCATGTACTGCTCCATTATAACATAGAAAGAAGGAAAAAGATTGTAACAAAGAATGAAGCGCTATCCGTATAATATGGAGGCACCCTCTGAGACTAGCATAAGCTTAGGAAAGGACAGGAACTCGAGAGAAAATGAAAATGGCTAACGCACCCTTGAGCCTCTTCTCCACGAGCCTCGTTTTCAACAGAGAACGTAACAAGGTTTTACGCGTCCTAGATAGCATCTCACCACAATGCCCCCGTTATGAAGCCCTCCCCACATGGAGTAAGCAAACTAAAGGGGCTCATCGCGAATAGCCGCGCCGCCCCCTTCATTTCCTCTTTTCATCTTTCCTCATTTCTCTCAAGATGATCAGGATCTGCTAGTTCTGGGATGAGTAGGAGCCAGATAGTTCTATTTTAACCCTTTCCGGACCGCGCACTTTTTGCGCTCACGGCCGCATGCTGCGCGGCAAGCATAAATATCATATATTTAATCTGTATTCCCACTAAAGCCATTATTTTGTCTCGTTTATGTCTTTGTCATGTCTCGAAGAATATATAAGATTAATTTGACAGAAAACTGTTTTGCAAAAAAAGGGAAAGGGCCATAAAAAGGGAGGAAGGGACGAAAATTGTTCAAAATAAGTTGGTATGGAGAAAAAGGGAGTAGAACGTGCCCAAAACGATTGGATCCATAAGAATCAGATACGACGAGCAGGATATTTCACAAATTCTTCGTTTTTAAGTGTTTTCAAGCGAACTACAACTGTTTTCTTTGAGCCCAAAGTGGAAGTCCATTTACTCTTTGGTTATTTTAGAACCTAGATTAAACCTAAAGTCTAGTTTTTTCATACATAAAAAAAAAAAAAAAAAAAAAAAAAAAAATACATATGGCATGAGTCTGTTACATAGGTATGTAACAACATAAAATATTTTATCGAAAAACCAAACCCTTGGAAAAATCAGCTCTTGAAGTTCCTGACACACCATGTGTGTCAGGCGGTCCGGAAAGGGTTAAACGTGCTAAGCAGAGAGTTCAAAAATCGTAGTAGCAGTTGAGTCACGGCACTGAGTCTATACCTATTTGGGCCGAGAAGCCACCGTTCTTTACGCGTCTGGTATTCCAATTAATGCGAATCCCGCATGGCGAATTTTTGTTCTCCCATGTGGAGGCAATAAGTGGAAGAACTGCTGCAAAGCCAAAATAGAATTTGAATCCATGAACCTTGGCCGTCCTAAAGGCCTTCCTTTCATTTCAGAAAGATGTCGCTTGTGCAGTGATCCCGAATCTATGGCACTACTCGGCGTTTTTCCTCGGAGTTGCTCTAAGAGGCGGTGCCGTGTCCGGAGCATCGGCGATGTTCACCGACTGTGAGTACACTTTGAAAGACTTTAAGAATTTCTACTGATCACTTTCTCTAAGATTATCAGATCTGCTAGTTTTGGGTGAAGAGTAAGAGTAGATAGTTTTTAAAAGTGCCAAACCCTTCAATTCAAAATCGTAGTAGCAGTTGATTGGCATTGGGTCTATACCTATTATATTTGGGGCCGAGAAGCCACCGTCTTTACGTCCTCTGGTTCCAATTAATCGAATCCGCATGGGTGAAACGATTGGTTAGCTTGGAGAACATTCCACTCAAGTTTGATCCGCGTGGTAACGGTGCCACTCGCTGCTCCCCCTACTTTTGCTTACTTCAACTTAACCACGAACGATACAGTGAATTTTGAGACTGCCTTAACATAAAAACTGTGGGCTGTTTCATAAAAAATGATACACCCCGTCTGAAAGAGGGGCGTAATTGAATTGAGCAAAGCCGGCTAATTCGGTTTGGTTCCTAAGGGATATGTTTTGACCAGTTAGCTCCGGATCAAACCACATCTTTTCATCAGCTTTTTACAAGAATAGGACCTAACTTGAATATGTAGAGCAGCTTGGTGTTTTTTCCAGGATTTGTTGTATTTTCTAGACATGTATGCTTTTTCAGATGAGCTCCAGCGACAATTCGTTGATTCCGGTGCCAAAGTGGTGTTGACGTCGGAGCATTATCTGGAAAAGGTGCTCAAGGCTGTGAAAGAGAGCCCTAATGTCAAGGTACACGCATTCTCCCTGACTTGACTACCCACTGAAATTTGTTTTTAAGCCATTCTTTCAATAGACATAATATAAAAATATTTGTCTCGGGGCTTCCATTGAGGGAAGTCAGGACAATATAGTAAAGCTGGAAGAGTATCCATTGTTACGTAGAAACCAGCCTAAAGGCATGGTCCAAAAACCGTGTTTGGCTTTCTCCGGACCTAGATGAGGCATTTCTTGCTTCTGAATTAGTATGGAAATCAAGAAATCGGATTGAATATCCTTTTTGGCAAAACCAAGTGCGAAATCAATTTATGTGGAAATGGGCGTGTCAAAAAACCACTTCTGGCAGAGCGTGTCCGAGCCACTGTTCTGTTTGTGCTAGCAGTAAACGCTCAAGACATCGTTTAACGACTTTGCTTTGAAAAGTTTATATATTATTCAAAGCAGGCGAAGTTTCTTGAACTTGATTCCCATCCCCGGCCATGAATGCTATGCGTTCACGGCCTGGATGGAGGGAAGGACGTATAGAAACAGACCTAATTCTTATTGCTCTATTATTTTCGAACTCGGAACAACTAAAACATAACATTGTATCTCAAACAAATTGTAAGTGGACTGATGAAAAAGCACGAAAACAAATTTCAAAGACTGAAATATGGGGCTAATGAGATCCGTTGATTATCAATTATCTGTTACCTTTTGACTCATTAGGGCTAGAAAGCAAAATGTAGCTCATTTAA